GATTAACATTAGAACAGCTGTGAAGAGCAATGCCTTTCATTTTACAAATGCTGTATTTGTACTAGCAGATATAAATAAGCTTCACTGAGAGGAATCCATGTTACTATCTGATTTGTTCATTTCTTTATATTAAAAAAAATTCCTTTTGAGATCAGCCTGTGCAACATAGGGATACCTTCCCCCCGGGGTGTCCCTGCTACCATCTCTACCCCACTCTCCACCCCAATGTATGCCCAAATCCCAAGGCTTTTCCCTTACAAACACTCTAGTTTGATGTTTGAGGCCAAACGAAATATGGCATCAAATACTCTCTGTGGAAACTCCTACCCTAACCCTGGTACTTTTCCACTTCCCAAGACAGAAGTCACTGCTGTCTCCCAGCACTCTTTGCTCTGCCTCGAGATCAAACCCACCTCCCCCGTGAGGTCTCGCGGTCTTGCTACGGCTTCCAGAAAGGGAATGTTGGTGCTCACTGGTATTTTTACAGCATTTCTGTCTTTAGCCTTTACTTGGCAGTTACTAGCTAACTTTTAAAATGTACCTGCACCTGCTATTAACTCCCAGCTCAGCCCGTAAGTGCCTTAAGGTTAATGATACACATTTACATGTAACAAGTACTGGAAATATTTAAGATATTCACACTTGAAATGTTTCATTTTCAATCTTTTAACAAGTACCTGATAAGCCATCTCAAAATTTAAAAGGATATTCAAATCTATTAAGACAATAAACAATTACTTTACAAAGATACCAAGAATGCCCCTGTCCCTTTCAGGAAAATCTAAGGATTAGGATTTTTAAAAACAACAGTGGGACAAAAAGCCATAAAACACTGAATCTTATATCCAAAGAACATTTTAGTTTTTGCAAGAACTCTGTGGGGATAAAGGTTTGGAATACTGCAAATTTCTATTTTAAATGTCAAGAATAGCAATAAGCAAATAGAGACAATCAAATTTAAGAGAACAGAAAATATGTTTCCACTTCTGGTTACTGATGTTAGAATGTGGAACCATTTTTAGTGTCAACATATTAGATGACAATTTTTCACAACGGAAAACCTATTACAAGGATCTTTAACTGGAGGCTCACTCTGGATATATATTCTGTGCACATTGTAATTTATTCTGCATACCGTATTAAGATAACATTTTTGTAATAACGTAATTATTACAAAGTTAGTCTATTTTTTTTTTTTTTTTTTTTTTTTTTTTTTTTTTGTTTTTTTTTTTTTTTTTTTTTTTTTTTTGAGACAGGGTCTTGCTCTGTTGCCTATGCTGGAATGTGTGGTGTGATCACAGCTCACTGCAACCTCTGCCTCCCAAGTAGCTGGGTCCACAGTAACGTGGCACCAGACTCTGCTGAATTTTGTATTTCCTGTAGAGACAGGGTCTCGCTATGCTGCCTAGACTGGTTTCAAAATCCTGGGCTCAAGTAATCCAATTGCCTTGGCCTCCCAAAATGCTAGGATTACTGGCACAAGCCACAGCACCCAACCCTCTGCGGCTACTTACTTCTCCTAATCATCAGCTCTCATCTCTGAAATACGGCTCTTCTTGCCTACCTCAAATATTGGCTGCAAAGACGAAAAAAACAATGCAAAGATAAGGATTTTTCAGAGTTTCTGGTTCATAACAACTACTTAATACTTCTTTTGGACACATATTTAATAAGTGCCTACATGTACCATGTACTGATATAGGTGTTGGGAATTCCTAATAGAAGAAATTCCTTTTCGTCATGGGGCTTACAATGTTGCTGCCAGTGGCAAACAAGTTGACCCACAGATATGTCAAGTGGAAGGAAACAAATGCTATGAAAAGAACGTGGGGTAAGCAGATGGAATAAGGGAGGAGGTGTGTGTGTGCACACATGCGCCATCTTACATAGGGTGTTAAGTGTCGCCTCCTAAAGAGAACGTGTAGGAGCCGGGCTCACTGAGGTATGGGGAGAGGAAACACCCAAGGCAGAGTCCTGGGGATCGTAAGCATGCTTGGATCCAGAGGGACTGGGGGGTGGGGCAGCCAAGTGGGCTGTGGGAGGAGAGGAAGGATCTAAGGACAGTGATGCACCAGGGGCCACGGTGTCTTTTTGAAGGCCTTGGTAAGCTCTTCGGATTTTTTTTTTTTTTTTTTGAGATGGAGTCTCGCACTGCTGCCCAGGCTGGAGTGCAATGGTGGGATCTCGCCTCACTGCAAACTCTGCCTCCCAGGTTCACATGATTCTCCTGCCTCAGCCTCCTGAGTAGCTAGGATTACAAGCGCACTTCACCACACCCGGCTTTTTTGTATTTTTAGCGGAGATGGGGTTTCACCATGATAGCCAGACTGGTCTTGAACTCCTGACCTCGTGGATCCACCCATCTCGGCCTCCCAGAGTGCTGGGATTCAGGCATGAGCCACCCCGCCGGCTCTTTTTTTTTTTAAAAGAAGAAACCGTTGAGGAACTGTGAGGAAGTGAGGTGATCTACATATATTTGAAAAGGTAACACACAGTATCTATTATAAAATGCTGTAACCATAAGAGATTTAATACACAGGAAATGAAAATTGCCTATCATTGTTCTTTAATCTAGTTTAAGTGATTGAGCCTTATGAAACTGCAGTTTCTATTGGACAAAAATGGTGGAATACTGTCATAAAATTCAATCTGATTTACCGGATAGGGTGAGGAAAAAAACCAAAAAACATAAGCTTTAGAATATTACTGAATTTTAATCCCAGACACAGGAGTCATTAGCTGCATTCTTACACAAGGTACTTAACTTCGTCTTTCTCGGGTTTCCCCTTATTTGTAAAATGGGGATAACAGTACATAACCTAAGCCCAAGTTGTACTGATGATTAAATGATATACATACAGAGCGAGCATTCAGTATAGTGCCTAAAAGCTTAATAAGCGGGCCATTAAGGGAATTGCCTCTTTTACACTACCAGCATCAAAACCTTTTACAACTATTTATTTTTCTAACAGCAACAGCATTCATTACTTAGAGACCATAGCTTTTGATCAAGTTACTACTCCTTGCATTCAGAAAGCTCATCTTTAAAAAGGCAATTCAGTAAGTAAATATTCTACGGCTGTAAAAACAGCTAAGGCTGTTGGAGAATTTAAAGTATCTGAGAGTTAAACATTTTTTACGTTGTCTACCAAGCCTATTACATTTCCTCCATCAAAGTAACTTAATTTTAAAAATGAACTGTGTGCTTGTTAAATGAAAAGGCCAGAAGCTAATGGTCACTCAGCGCTCGTTCGAAATTCTTTTAGTACCTTCAGTACAACTCAAAATCAGAGGTGCTCCTCAGAGTGAGTGATGCAACGTTTTACAAAAAAAAAATCAGCTACGTTCACTGTTAAGTCCGAAGACAGAATGATTAACAGAAAATTTCAGTCGCGAATTACTCTCACAATGGACACCTGGATATTAAATAACTGCATTATTAACGGAATGTCATAAAGCATTTGCAACAAAAGGCAGATGCAGATTTAGGAACTGCCGACTTCTACAGATCAAAGAGGACTTCATTGTTGCAGTTCAGGAAATTCTTCCAAAAAAATCTAACTGCTGGAAATCCACCACACTGCACAGAAAGACCTCTTGCCTTTGAGCTCTTTCTTCATTTGTGAAAATGTTGACTTCTGCTTCTCAGACTACGCAAAGGCGCTTTATTTCCTACTGCGGCTTCATCCCCTCACGGAACACTGATGCCATCAAGGAGGAAGCATTTCGAGCACGACTGACGCTCCCTTATTGTTTGCTAAGCCGCCGCGCTCGGGTCTCGCTACGATTCCCTTTCAGAATAACGGGAAGGTGCCACAGATCGGTTCCCCGGAGGCGCGTCACACGCGCGGCCCGGGCCCCCCACGCCCGCCGCCCCGGTGGTGCGCACGCGTGTCCGCGCAGGCTTCCCGCCCGTCGAGCGCGAGGCTCCTTTCCGCCGTGCTGTTTTCCAGCCTCCCAACAAATCACGAACACCGAAGGGAACCACGGCGGCGACGGGAGGTGCATCGCGCGTGGTTCCCTCGGCGACAAAGCAGGAGCCCGGCACGCCGACCGAGGGCGCCCCGCGCAGAGTCCCGCAGAGGCAGACGCCGGGGCGCGCGCCTCAGAAAGCCTCAAACTCCTGTCCTCCGCAACCCCCGCCCCCTCGCAGCCGAGACCCGCGCCGCTGCAGGCCCGACGGCCAGGACAGGCCGACCAGCCCTCCGCACGGCGGGCGACGCGCCAAGGCACCGGCCGAAACGGCCAGACTCAGACCCTAGGCGGCTGCCGCCCCCAGCCCCGCCCCTCCCCCGCCCCACGCAGGCGCACTCCGGGCCCCGCGCCTCCCCCTACCGCGCGCTGGCGGGGCCCGGCGGGGGCGGAGCAACCCTCCGAATGGGCGTGGCCGCCAGCCTCGACGCGCGCACGCGCTCTCGGGGCCCACACCTACGTGTCGGGCCACGTGACGCCCACCCCGAAAGTCCCCCGTGAAGCAACAGGACGTTAAAAAAATTTCTCTTCTGCGGGGTGGATGAGAGGTTCTGAAAAAACTATAGTAACGAGGAGCGAGGCGGAGGCAGCGCCGGCGCGTCCCGCTGGGATTCCTCTCGCCCGCCGCGCCGGCCACGACCGCGCCCGCGGCCCCGCCCGCCCCCTGCCGTGGAAAGCCCCGCGTCCGCCGCACCCCGTGTCCAACAGCCTCGCAGCCCACACCCACCCGCCCCGGGCGCCCGGCACGGCGGCGACCCCATCCTCTACTCCCAGACCCGGGCCCGCCCAGCGCCGCCGCCCGTCACGCTCCCGCCGCCCGCCCCGCCGGGGAGGCAGGGAGGAGGTAGCCAGGCGCCAGTGGCGGCCAGGGTGGGGGGCGGCGGGCAGCGGGCTGCGGGAGCGCGCCAGCCCGGCCCCGCTAACGGCCGCTCTGCGCGGCCCCGCCCGCCGCCCGCCCCCGGCCCTCCCCCCGCCGCCGCCCCTCCCCCCCTGCCGCCGCTGCCGCCGCCGCCGCTGGCAGCGCCGCCTGAACTGAGGCGAACTCCGCCGCCAAGTGAGTGAGGAGGAGGAGGAGGAGAAGGAGGAGGAGGAAGAGGAGGAGCGCAGTCAGAGCGCGGCGGCAGCGGCAGCGGCAGAGGCGCCGCGGCGGGGACCAACCCGGAGAGACCCCCGAGCCCGCGGCACAGGCGGCGGCGGTGCTCAGCGGGCGCGACCAGCCGAGCTAGCGGCGGCCCCGGCTCCTCCTCGTCCGGCGCCAGCGGCCCGCGCCCCGCGCCCGCACTCGGCCAGCCGAGACCCGCCTCCCGCCGGCCTCGTGAGGGACGCGCCGAGCCGGGCGGCCGAGAGCGGCGGCGGCCGGGAGCGCGTCGGGCCCGGGCGGAAAGTGCCTGCGGGGGGCGGGCGAGCGCGCGGTGCCGGCCGCCCCGGGGCTCGGCGCGGGAGCCGGAGCGGGAGCCGGCGCGGAGCGGGACGCCGGGTCCCGAGCGGCCGGCGGCCGGGGCTCGCCCCCGCCCCTCCCTCCTCTCCGGCGGCGGCGGCGGCGGCGGCGGGCGGAGTGAGCTGCGGAGCCTGGAATATGGTCGGGGAAATGGAAACGAAGGAGAAGCCGAAGCCCACCCCAGATTACCTGATGCAGCTGATGAACGACAAGAAGCTCATGAGCAGCCTGCCCAACTTCTGCGGGATCTTCAACCACCTCGAGCGGCTGCTGGACGAAGGTGAGCGCCTCGGGCCCCGGCCCGACCCCCGCCGGGGCAGCCCCTTGCCCCACTCGGGATGGTGTGGAGGGCGGGAAGGTCACGGCCGGGCGGGACCGCGCGCCGGGGGGACGGGGAGGCCAGGAGGGCGCACAAAGAAGGCGCGGGGCCCGGCTGGCGGCGGCGGCGGCGGGCGGGCGGGCGGGCCGGGGTGGACCCGCCGGGGCCGGACGCTCCCCGCCCAGCCGGGACCCAGTGCTGCTGGCGCCCAAGTTTGTGCGGTGCGGAGGGCTGCGGGGCGAACGCGACGGCCCCTCTAGGTTTGGCGGTCACATTTCCGAGAGGCCGGCGGGGGCCGCGCGCGCTCGGTGGTCCTCGCCGAGCGCTCTCGAGAGCAGGCCCACGCCGCGCCGCCGGCCTGGAGGACGCGCGTGTCCCCGGCGCGGGCCCCGCTCCTCCGCTCGGTCTCCCGAGCCTGCCCTGTGTGGACCCCGCTGCCCCGCGTTCGGGAGCTCTTCCTCCGGGTGAGGACCAAAGCGGGGTTTCGTGCTTGGGGAATTGGTGCAGCTGGTAAATACTAAGTGGAAGTCAGCGTGGGGCTCGTTAGTTTAAGAAAATTCGGTAGGAGACCGAAAGTAATGCTGGCGTAGCCGACAGGGAGGACGAAGTGACGGCGAAAAGCGCTTTTTTTTCCTTTTGTTTGGGGAAGCGAGAACTGTTAGGGAGTTGAACTTCACTTTTCGGGGGTGGGGGGGGTGGTGGAGTGCGAAATACCGCGATGACAGATCGGAGCGCAGCCTGAGTTAGGAAGAACTTGGGCGGAGGGTTTGCTGTCGGGGACGCAGCCGCCTCAGTTTGCATGACAGGGAATCAAGACGTTTGGAAAGGGAGAAATAAAATTGAGGTAAAGTTTCCAAAAAGCTTTATGGAGCGCTGTGGGGAGCGAAGAATGACAAGAAGATTAATGTTGACCAACTCTGGAATTTCCTTAAGAAGTTCTCATAGCAGTACCTGGAGTATTAATTTCTAGTAGCTGTGGGTTTCTGCAGACGCCTAGGGAAAAAAAAAATGACTACATACACAAAAAATCTGTTTCGAAAATTGACTAGGTAGGATTTTTTTCTTTTTCTGCTTAGAGGCACCACCGGAGGAGTGTATAATGGAAACCAAAAACTGTAGGTTGAAGAGATGAATAGTGTAGTTTAGGTTTTTCGCAATAATTTCGAGATTTTAAAAATAGAGTCCGGGAAAAGGAATTTGAAGCTTGGGGAGTTGGAATGTCACTAAAGAACAAAACGCCGGAAATGTTTACATGATAAAAAGATGGTTAAAGAAGAATCCCAGGAGTTTTGTTGTCCTGAAAGTCGTAGAAACAAAAGTAGGAAATGGTTAGGTGTTACGGCTTTCTGGTCGTTTTGGTTACGTATGTTAAACATACAGCACTCACCCACATTGAAATGGGCATTTTCCACTGTTGGAACAACAGACCTGTTAATTTCAGGTTGCTCCAGAGAAAACTTCAGCTGTCCCTTTAAGGGGTTCTGCCTTTCCTATTTGTGTTGGCATTTGAAAGATTGTGGAGGCAGAAAACTTTCTGGAATGTCAAAAAAAAAAAAAAAATGCTGGAACTCTGAAATTGCGTATTTCCGAATGTGAGCGCTAAGGGGCGCCAGTTATTTTTTAACCATGAAAATGGTTGGAACGAAATGTGTAACATACACAATAATCTGACGTATATTAAATTTAGTTGAGACTTAAGTTTTGGATTATTTGATTTGTCATCACCTGTTCCTATATGTTTTCGAACATTGAAGACACTTTTCTTAAAATTATTGGCACAAGTTTATGACGTTTTAAAAATAACATTTTCTCCTTCGCATATTTTGGTTAAGTTAAAGTTTTAATAGTGCTAATAACAATTTCTGGTAAAAGTTTTTTTCTTGAGTGCAGTTGTTTAGAAGGAATCCTTTATCGACGATAAAATGAAAATAGACCTTGACAATGTTTAGGGTTAATTAAAATTAAATTGCACTCTTGAAATGTTGAATTCAGAGACTATAGGAGATTAAAAAAAAAAAAGTTTGAAAGTACTTCACCTTAGTATACTATTTAAAAAGCTGCATACTTCTGAGTTTCTTTAGTTTGAAAGGGCTTCTCACTTGTGCTTTATGTTGATCTAAAATCTCTTCATAATTTAGAGATGGTTTTTTGTTACCAAGTTTCTAACCTTTTGCTTTAATGATTTTTAATTTTTTCAAAACCAGAAATTTGAATTATGTCACTATTTCTAACCAAGGTGTATTTCTTTCTGGTTGGCAATAGTAATCGTTTGAGTTTAAAATGTAGGAGACCGAGAGGAAATCTCTTTATGTTTGTTTCCCCTTCCCTTTGTAATGTGGCTTATTCCATCTCTCATATTATTCTAGTTTTAGCCTTGTCAACTCCCCGTGTAAAGATTGTTTCTGTATGGCAGATGGTATGTTTAAAATGGGCAATATAATGACAAGGAAGTTTGACTGTTTTTTTATCAGACCAGTACAAACATGCAGGAAAAAGGGCTATTCCTTAGTGTGGAATAAGCTGTTTCCTGTAATTGTTAGCCTTATTATAAACTTAATTTGACTTAGGAAAAATATTGGTTTCTGAAGTCCATCACATTTTTTTTTTCTGGATGATTTGATTGTGAAATTTGGCAACTTGTGCTTTACCCCTTTGTGGTTTGTCATTGTCCTAAACAAATTAATCATGACTCCTGTTTCTGGTTAGGCATTACTTTTTGTTTTGTTTCTTGCCTGTAATGCTTGGCTGAAAACTTACTTTTAAATTTAGATAACATTTAGTAAAAATTTTACTTTAGTGATTGGCTTAATGAAGTTAACATACTTAAGAGTAGTTGTATTTTCTGATAATTAGAAATTTCAAATGAGACTTTTAAATTTATTTTAAAATATTTTTCAAAGAATAAGCTTTTAAACAATTTGTCACCTTACGAATTTCCATTTGGCAAGTTACAAATTTGTGGATTGTGTTGGTTTTCCTAGTTGATGAAGACTTGAATGTTTTAGAATGAGTATTTTAATTCCTTGCCAAATTAATCTTTAGCCTGTATGTTGACTATGGACAGTCCTTTTGTTTTACCGCTTGTTTTTGTTTTTGTTTTGTTTTTTGTTGTTGCGGGTCGTGGAGGTGTGTGTACCAGCTCTTCCACTCAAGTATCTTCAACATGGCTGTTTTTTAAAGTTGTTAATACATTCTAGATTGGGCCCATCATATGAAGGACATAAACTTGAGTTTGAAACCTTTTATTGAAGGTAGAGATGATTACAGGATTACAGATAAAACCTAGGTCTTAAACTGCTCTACCTTTAGAGAGAAGTTTTCAACTGAACCCTGAGCAATTAATACATAGTTTTTAAGAAACCAATCTTTTTCATGAAACTGAAACAACAGTAGTTGAATGGAAATGGTCTTAATAAAGTTTAGAATTGAGGAGGTAAAGAGTACAGTCTATTAGACTTAATAATACTGAATTAGGAGAAAATGGAGAATTAGTATCTTAAAAGCAAATTTTGAGTTTTCAGTTTTTTAGGTGGAGGAGGGGTTAAAACCACTAGCTAATATGGAAATAAAAAATGTGTAATGAAGAAGGACAGCCTAAATCTTTTTATCAGAAAAATTAGCGTGTGGCTCAGAAAAAGAGAGCAGATGGATTAGAATTAGAATGCCTCATTACTGATTTGAAAAATACATTTTCATTTTTAGATGGTCTTTTCATTTGTTTTTATAATAAATATCCTTTCTGACCTCAGTTTAGTTTCTAACCTGCCTGCTCCCTCTCTTTTAAATATATGAATAAAAATATTTTGTTAAAACTTCCTTTAATAGTTGACATTTTTTCATGTTAATATTTATTTTCACTTCTTTTGCCATAATTATTGGATGTATTTACTGTTTTCTTACCATTTTTTTTCCTGAGAAACAGCTCATTTACAAAAGCTTTGACTTAAAAATTATATAGTTGTTGATATTTAGAGGTCTCTTGCTATGGAGATTTCTTACAAAAAGGTTTTCTTTTTGTCTGAAGAAGCAATTATTGTTGTCAGTAATCACCTGTAACAAACAGATTTTACTTAAGGTGAAATAATCTGTTCTTTAGGAGCTAAGATTTTGCTTTTGTACACAAGCCCTTGAATTAGTTGTAGTAAGAAGGAAGCGACTATTTATAATCACTTCTTTCCATGATCTTTTCTCACCCAGGAGGTGTCACCAGCTATATATTGGCAGTAATGGAAAAGCTTGTTTGTATCACCATGGGGTATTTATTAAACATTCATTCTGTACTTTTAAAACTAAATTCCCCTGTAGGTGAAAGGTGATTCCTTTGTAAACTTTATCCAGTTTACATGTTTTATAGTAAAAGTTGTATCCGACTGTAACACACTTGAGTTGATAGAAATAGGTCTCTTTGCTAGTCACATTTACTAGTATATTTGGGATGAACACTTGCTTACATGACTGAGAATGTCAAGTTAAATCAAGTTAATTTGACTTCTTAAATGCTGTATGCATATTTTATTTCTGTTATTGCCTCACTAGTCACTGTCACTGTCCTGGAGCTGATTGAAATTGGTCAGTTTCCCATAAGAACAAATGGTTTTTGTTTTCCTTTTTCAGGGAAATAGATTTCTGTGGCAAAAGAAGTGAAGTATAATGAAACACTCATGCTTTGACCTGGCCTTCACTGAAGCATGATTCAGATTTTTGTTTTTGAGACCAATATACTTAGACATGTAAGGGCTTTGCTTTTGTTTTTTGGTGTCCTTTGCTTTTCGGTTTGGATTTGATATCAAGGAAATTAATTATACCAGTGTGATCATTGGGGTAACTTTTTATAAACTGACTGGAACTACAATTTAATTTACTTGAGAAATTCAGTGTCGCTAATACATTTGTTTGATTTATTTATTTGATGTTACAGTTGTAAGCAAAACTTGCTCTTCTTTGTTGGAGGTGGAAAATGC